ATATCAAATACAAACTCAAATTCGAATTACTTTGATCGAAAAAAAAAAACCTCTTCTCTGTGATAGAAAAGTAGTCGACATATGCTCCGAACATTTTAGGTATGAGCACGCCATCCCCCTGTGGCACTTCTGCAAAGGCCTCAGTGGCAAAAAAATTCTTGAAATATTTTAAATTGATCATCTTGCGTTCACAGACCTTATAAACTTATCATAAGTGTGAGGAATAATTTTTATACAAACAAATAACCAAACCATCGCTTCCAAATTCAATATATTCAAGATAGGTATAATAGCCCTTAATATTAACAATCCTACAATGAGATGAATCTCTCTCCGTGAATCTCAAGTTAGTTTCTCCAACAACAATGGCCATTTGCGGTGTCCATTGAGTCTTAAACACAAAAGTTCATAGGGCAACAAAAATTAAATACAAAAAGTTTAACTGAAAAAGTTTAATTCAAAAATTAAATACGAAAAGTTTAATTGAGAAATGTTTGTCAAACCATATTACTTTTAGTTTTGTCGTGTTGTGTAGATAGATTCCATTGAGAAAATCTTTGCCTCTAAATTCTGCGTCATCTGAAGTGACTAGCGAACGTCTATATTTGAGGTAAACATTTCGTTGATTGATTGATTCGAATTCTCCGTTACGGAAGCGAACAATTTGGAATCGTTTTTTCAAAGCATCAGTTGCTTCTTTATGGAAAAATGTGTTCACCCTTCAGCAAATGCAGAATGTTACTCAGTGATGTTATTTGCTGAATTCACGTCTTATTATTTCTTTTACATACAAAAAAAAATGATCTTTACAGAATAACTGTGGAATAGAATTAATATTTCTAACTGTCTTGTGAAAATGACCTTCTGTAATTCAGCAAATCCTCATTCGTCACATTCATTCTTCTTATACAGCTCCTGAATAGTTCTTTGAATGGTCCCATCATCGTCATCAACCGACTTAAGTAATCGATCTGATTTGATGGCTTTTGAATTTCATCTCCTGAAATTATTTATTACGTAAATGCCTACACTGCTTTTTCTTTCACGTGTATATAACCAGTCGTGCAAAGTTAACACTTAAATACCAGTTGCAATCAAAGTCT